AAAAGACAGTATATATATATATATGGAGAAGCAAGCGAAATAAAGTTAAAATAAAATGGAATAGAGAAGGAGTTATTTCTCCTTCGTCTGTTTTGAACAAGGATAAAAAGTGAAAACGAAAAATGAAAACTGTGAACAGTGACGAAGAAGTCGGAGTGTTTTTCTAGTCGAACAGAGTGAGGTCATTGATGACATTTGTCCTTTAGAATTAATTCTTCATCTATAAAAATAGAACTAGATGAACTAAATGTAGAATGTTTTTTTGTTCGTGGTACTAATAAAAGTATTTGTTTCAATGACATGCGGACAAGTGGGGAGCATCGAGATGTATTGCATTTGTGAAAACCAGTTGGACATGGATGAACAGTAGGTGGAGTAGTGATGAAATTGTATTGTGTTGTATTTTTCTGTTGTTGTATGTTTTCTTGATAAGAGCGACACGGTCTGAATCACGATAGTGGAGGATTTTTTTGATTAAATTAAGTGGTTCGTGTTGACGTGCGAGTAGTCGGCAGAATAAGAGAAAATATTGTTGCCAGCGAGTTGTAAGTGTAGAACAAATGCGCGTAATTCGATTTGCCAGTGATAAAGGAATGTTTTTGATGATATGGTGTGGATGAGATGAATTATAGTGAAGATATTGAAATGTGTTAGTTGGCTTTGCGTAAAGATTTGTTTCGAGGCAATTGAGTCGGTGGTTGATACTGACAGTGATGTCGAGATAGTTAATTGGCATTGTGTTTTGTTCAAATTTATATTGTAAATGTTTGTTTTGGTTGTTTAGAGTATTGATAAATGTATGAATGAGAATGGAGCGTGGCGTTTGTTGATTTTCTGTTTGATACCAGAGACAAAATGTATCTTCAAGAAAGCCGAAAATACGAATAAGGTTGGTGGCGAATTTTTGAAAGATGGGTATCTCGCTTAGGAAAACGTAGATGTTACTGTATTCTGGAGCACATGAGGTACCCATTGCGGTGCCTTTGATTTGTTTATAATGGAAACCTTTGAATGTGAAACAATTGTTTTCAAGAACGAGTTGTAGGAGAATAGTCAGTGTGAGATGGTCCAGTGGGAAATTGATCAGGTGACAATGTTGTTGAATAAAAGTGGATAATGTTTGAATGCCTTCCTCTTGAGGAATATTGGTGTACATCGATGTAATATCGGCAGTCAGTAAGGTCAAATTGTGGAGATCAAGACGATCGGTACGGGCGGATTCATTGAATAATTCGATTTCGTGGAATGAGATCACCACTGGCGCCAATCGATCCATACTGACGAACACGGGGTACGATTCCCGAGTTTAGAAAGTTGACCAGTGCCTCGACGGCCTCCTTACTGACGCCCGAGTAGCCCTGTGCTAGACAGTGAGCTCTCAGCATCATTGCAACACGAACAGCGTCATCTGGAACAATATTTCCCAAGCCACACGAATGTGAATTTATTAGATTTTCTTGTCGAGCAATCACTGAATCGCAGTAGCTACTTTCATCTGTTTCGACTGAATCCACCAAAACAACTTGGTCGCCGAACTGTGTATTCATCCCGTACACAGGAAGCCGTTTGTCAAGATAGGACTTCAAATACTGGAATGTCCGTTCAGTGTTTATATACGACTCGGGATTGATGCATACTGCCGAAAACTGGTTGACTAATCTGTTGGCATCGTCAAACGGCAGTTGACACCAATCCGAATCAGTTCCACTTGCATAATAGTAAGATTGCTGCGCGATAAGCAAAAATCTAAAAAAGAATACAAAGTCGGATACAAAGTACAAAAGCAAGACGACTTCATACAATATGTTTAGATTGTTCATGCCAGTGTAATTTCTTCACTCTCTTGCTCTCTTCTATTTTATAAAAACGTATCCCTTTCATACTAATACTAGTAGCATACGGCTGTCGAAGAAGAGGAGAACGTGGTAGGAAATTACCGTAACGAATATATGTTCGATATTATCGGTTTAGAAATCACCTAGCACTAAATGTATACTATCGTGAAAATAATCTTTTTCCTAAGTCACTCCAAATCGAAGTACCAAAGCAAAATTTTGGTGCTGATGATTCGAAACTTAAG